AGACTAACACTTAGAAGGTTTTCTAAGTATTCATCCAAGCGTGCAATGAAGATTTAAATATAAGGATGAAATCATCACATCAATAATGACAGCTGGAGATGACGCTTCAACAACTAGATTTATAGTTTATCTTGTAAATAATGATTATCCATGTAAAAGATAAACATTATCTATTAGCTAGAATATTTGCTAGAAAGTAGTAATAGTTAGTTATCTTAGCATTAGCTAACTAGTATAAATAGACGACTAGGTCTATTGTAAAAAGCGCACATGTGAAAAGTTCTCTTAGTGTTTTACGTTTTATTATCAATAAAGTAAAACCTTTGAAGCTCAAATTGTTCTTTAATATTCATATATTAATTTTGAGTCTTCTTAACTTTCTTCATAAAATAATTATAATTTGGTTATTCGTAACTAAATTATAAGTGTTATTGAGAGATCTGGGATCAACAGCATCGACTATGAAGAAACTTTTGCTCCTGTGGCCAGACTAGAAGCTATTCGTATCTTTCTAGCATTTGCCGCTCACAGAGGGTTTAAAGTGTTCCAAATGGATGTGAAGTCAGCCTTCTTGAACGGCAAACTCAAGGAAGAGGTATATGTCAAGCAACCACCAGGGTTTGAAAGTGATAAGTATCCAAACCACGTCTATTTCTTAGACAAGGCTCTGTATGGTCTCAAACATGCTCCCAGAGCATGGTATGAACGCTTGTCCATCTTTCTTACTTCCAATGGTTTTCACAGAGGTACGACAGATATTACTTTGTTTTATAAGAAACAGAATAATGATATCTTGCTTATACAAATATACGTTGATGACATTATCTTTGGTGCAACTAACGTTTCTATTTGCAAAGAACTTGAGTTCTTGATGCAGAGTGAATTCGAGATGAGCATGATGGGAGAGCTTACTTTCTTCTTAGTTCTACAAGTAAAGCAATCCTCCGAAGGAATATTCATTAACCAATCTAAATATGTTCATGACCTATTGAAGAAGTACAAAATGAACGACGCCTTTCCCATGAGGACTCCCATGGCCCCTGGCCAGAAACTTAATAAGGATATTAATGGTCCTTCTGTAGAGTGCAAGCTCTACAGAGGCATGATTGGATCTCTCTTATATCTAACTGCAAGTAGGCCTTATATCATGTTTTCCACGTGTATATGTTCTAGGTATCAGGCAAACCCCAAGGAATCACATCTTAGTGCAGTTAAGAGGATCCTTCGATATTTAAAGAAGACACCAACTCTGGGACTTTGGTATCCTCTGCATTCCAACATCGATCTTGTGGCTTATACGGATTCGGACTATGGTGGATGTCAAATTGACAGAAAGAGCACCTCTGGAAGCTGTCAGTTTCTTGGAGGAAAGCTGGTTAGTTGGTCTTCAAAGAAGCAGAATTGTGTATCAACTTCCACGGCAGAGGCTGAATATGTAGCCGCTGCAAGTTGTTGCTCACAAGCTCTATGGATGCAGACTCAACTACGCGACTATGGCTACTCTGTCAAAAAGATCCCCATCCTCTGTGATTCAAAGAGTGCTATTGCTATATCAGCTAATCCAGTCCAACATTCAAAAACAAAGCATATCGACATAAGGTACCATTTCTAAAACATAATGTTGATGAAGGTAATGTCGAATTATACTTTATAAAATCTGAATTTCAATTGGCTGAACTCTTTACCAAAGCCCTTGATGAGAAAAGGTTTAATTTCCTTGTTGAGAAAATAGGAATGACATGTCCAGAGTTCTAGATGTTGGATGTCTTATTATTTATTCTTTTTGTATAAAGTTTTCTCTTTTATTAATTTTCATCATTTTGTATATAATCTTTCTTTTAAATCTCATTTTGTATATAGTTTTTATTTCTTGATTAACTTTCGCCTGATTTCATAGTTAACAGGTTTAACCTCGCAGAGACTTGCAAGGTTTGAGGGGGAGTATGTGCTTGAAAAGGAATAAAACCTCTTGAAGAAGAAAAATGTTTTTCATCACAGAAGTCTTTTCACAGATCCTCTGTGATAGCTCTCAGAGGCTCTGTGAACGAACTCTCTGTCGATACTTCTTCTAAGGATTTTAAATGGTTTTTTATTCGAGGGGGAGCCATGGAAGCTGGCTCATAGGGGGAGTTTTGAAATGAAAATCAAACCTCAGAAGGTGCCAAAACTTTTGAAGTATCTTGTTCTCAGAGGTCAACTCATCAGAACCTCTGGCGCTTCTAWCAGAGGCTCTGTGGGTTTGARCTGAGCAAGTACTCATCTCTCTGWGGATTTTCAAACCGTTTRGGTAAATAAAGGTGTAACATATWWGAAGACCCAGCACATATCACAGAGGCTCTGTTACCCTTAGGCCTCTGACAGAACTCTCTTATAGTTCTTGTCTATTGATATGGTGCGCGTGGTTCTGTGCAAAAGGGTTAGAACTTATCACGCGCGTGTCAGAATTGGGGGCGCGCGTCTTCCCAACACAGTGTGTCATACTTTTTGAGCCATTTCACCCTATAGCCACTCATCACGACCTTTCGTCAAATAAACGGTTCAATTCAAAAATCCCTCACTATAAATACCCCTTCCCCCCCTAAACGTAAATCTTTACAATACCTTTCTTCTCCGACGAACCTGCAATTTCTCAAGCTTTACTAAAAACTGCAAATATGTCGTCTTCCTCAGCCTCAGCTCAATCGGTTAACGTCTCAAGTGACAACGAAGTAACTCAAGCCCAAGCATTAATGTCTCACGCTCTATCATTTGTCCAGAATCGATACGAGAAAGTCGTTCTTGTGAAGAAACCCAATAATTATTACTTCGTTCCATCTTCAACAGGTTTCCCTGAATTCACCTTCCCCCTCCTAGAATTTCTTCGAAACCATCCCCTATTTTACGCTCTTTCAGCCACCAAACCTACACCCGAGTCTTATATCACCCAATTTTTGTTAAGCTCTTACATAACCACCCTGGATAACTCTGGTTTAAGCATTGTTGGTTACGCTTCTCACCCAATCAACAAATCCCTTGTGCCAATGGAACTAAACGTTGACAAACTTCGAACAGCCTTGCACCTACCCTCCCTGGAATCTCTTGATTTGGATGCTTTCGCCCCAACCCCAACAGACGATGAATTAATTCAATTTCTTGAATTTCATTCATATGCTGCCAAGACCCAAATCGTCAAAAGGACACAATTCAAACGCAAAGGACTTCTCCCAATCTGGAACACCCTGTTCTCCATTGTGAATTGTTGTTTAACATGGAAGGTCGGCAGCCATGACCAGACCTCTCACGCAATGCTTTCCATTGTTTATGAAATTTATTTCAACCTGCCTCTCGACTATGCACAGCTCATCTTTGAAGACATGGTTGGATTGATTAAGAAGAAGTGCGCGACACAGAGGGGTGAGAAGTCCAAAGTGAAGGCGCAAAAGAAGGCCAAAGAGGACCTTAACCATCCAAACCTAATTCTACAGAGGTTCTTTGGCCTAGCCTTTGGGGAAATGATTGCAGAAAAGCTGCCCTCTGCCGAGCCTAACGCCAAATTGTATCCTTTCAAGGAGTTCCACCCGACAGAGCATGAGCTAGGGTACAGAAGCCCCAGACCTTTATCTAAAGCCATGCTCAAATACCTTAGTCATGAAGATAGGAAAGCATACAGACGTAGATTCAGGAGGCCAGAGCCGATCCCTGAAACCCCTCCACGCATAGGAATCCCCTTAGGAGAGAGAGTTGAAAAAATAAGGGTAGAGGGAAGAACGAAGGAGCCAGCAGAGGCTAGAAAGGTGAGTGAGGAAAGACCTAGAGTAGCAAGTCCCCACCCTAAGAAGCCAAAGAAGACACAGAAGGGTGTTGACTCTTCTGTGAAGAAGAAAGGGAAGAAGAGACCCGCAGAAGAAGAGGGTCCAAGTAGTCCTCTGCAGAAGCCAAAGAAAAAGAAATCGAAGAAAGCCCAACCCGCAGAGGTTGTGGTCACAGAGGCTGTTCTTCAAGAAAGCCCCGTAGAGGCTACTCCAAAGCGCAGAAGGTTGCGCAAGGTGGTCCACGAGGAGTCCCCAACAGAGCAGATACAAGATGTTATCTTCCAAATTCAACAAGGGTTTAAAGCGCCTACGGAAGTAGCTGATTTGGGGACAGAGGTCGTCTTAGACGACGAAGAAGAAGAGTTGGAGATAGGAGAGGGAGAAAAAGATGCTCAAGGCACACATCCTAGCCCTCCTCCCAGTGCAACCCACTTTTCTAGGGACCCTGTTCTAGAAGGATCCTCTATTAAAAATGGCGTGCACACGCTGAGCCCAACCCAAGCTATCCTCGCAGAGGACATTCTTTCGTACTCTGTCGTATGCACTGCCCGGGAACCACATCATACTCCAACATCCTCTCAAAAGGATACTGGTTTTAAAATAAGAGTCCCATCGCCCAAGGACTCGTCTCAACCCAAAGAGGCATCTGTTGCCTCTCCACACTTGAGTGACCAACCAAAATATGCTTCAGAGGCATATGTGAGAGTCACAAAGACTGAGGATCTAGAATGCCCAAAGTCCACACTCGATCCCTCTGCCATGTTAGGCTCTGA